ATTCTTGGTCTGATCTTAATAAAAAAACTTTAAACAAAGATCTTCTTTATCTCTTAAGTAACCTGCCTAGAAAAAGACAAAGATCTTGAGTCTGGTCAAAATAATCATCTATGTTCTGTGTTGTCTTTATCAGGTCTTTGATTACTTAACTTATTCCTCTCAATATTTTTAAGATTGAATTAAGTTCTGCTCAGAACAATGTAACCTTCTATATTTGTCTCTGAAATCTTTGTCACTTTGGTTAAGAAGATAATTAAGTTTTGTTTCATAGTAACCTATGACCCAATTTGACCAAATGTTTTTAAATCTTTTAATATTTTTGACAAACTCCCCCCAAAACAAATTCTAAATGAAGACTTTCTGACTTTGTACTAACTTTGGGATTTTACATCTCAAAAGATTTGTTCTCTCTCCTTATAAAAAGGGAAATGCTAAACTAATTAGACATGTTAAATTTCATGGGGAATATTGTCAAATAATAAGCTTCCTTTATGTTGTACTTGTATAAGTATATAAGTGTTCTAGAAATCTCATTAATTCCCCAAAGTCTGATATGCCCTGGTATAATGTTATCAGTCATAATTCCAGTTATTGTCTTAAAATGTTACATGTTACAGAAATAACCTAATTTCCTTGTCAATTCCATTATACTGAGCTCTCATTTGATTTTTAACAATTAACATTTTAAGTCTTTTGTCACTTACAGTTATTATTTTACTCATATGCCTTTACAAAAAAGTATTCCTGCTTAGTACAGAGAGGGACTGCAGGTTCAGACATTTGGGGTATGTGCTTGGCTAAAGAACCAATGGGGTAAAAGTACCACCTGAGGAATTATGATTGAATACCTCTAAGTCAGAATCCCACCCAGGAGGAATGGTAAAAGACTATAGCAGATCCTCCTCACTACCCAGGTGGCAGCCAAACTCCAAGATCTGAACCTTGGGTATGCATCTCACAGCTTGCCTGCATAAACACCAAAGACCTCCAAATTAAATAAACCAGGAAGAGAAGTAGTAGCTCTTAATGATGTAGATTGGGTCTGCCCAAGACACCAGATCAAGACTTCCTACTTTAGCTAGGTATGAAATCTTTCCTTCTTTTCTTTCTTTCTTTACTCTGGCATTGGCCTGGAAAGATAACACCATCACCCATATTTCCCAGACCATTGCTAAGAGAACAACCTCTAGAATTTAGAACAACTTTCTCTTCAGGCTAGGAGGAAACCTAACTGGCCCCTGGCTTAAATGGGCAAATGCAACAATCCCTGCAAATGGTTCTTGTAACAGTGCCACCTTAGTGGAAGTGGACTATGCTCTACAGGATTTATCTTTGTCTGTGATCATTCTCCTTGGGCCAATGAATGCCTAGATGGCTGGTGTATAACTGGGCAATGCTTCTTCGGTTATCTAACTGTGCCCCTAACAGTCCTAGAATGGTCCTACAAGGAGGCATTCCCTGGTTAGGAATGAGTACAAATGAGGGTATAATCAGAAACTTCTACTTAGCTCTTGAAAATATTGCAAGAATCTGCTATTAAAACAATAGCCGCCTAACAAATATCCTTAGATTCTCTGACCAAAGATGTTCTTTGATAATAGGATAGCACTTGATTATCTTTTAGCTGAGCTAGGAGGTCTCTGTGCTGTGGCCAATACCACCTTTTGCACTGGGATTAACACTTCTGGGGAAGCTGAAACACCGTTACATAAGATCACTGAGCAATTTACTTAGCTTAAAAGAGTGACTCCTTCAAAAGGGTCTTTCTTTGATTGGTTTGGATCCTGGAGACTAGGGCTCTGAAGTGCATCGCTTTTCAATGGAAACAGACTGGGACATTTGATTAGACTTGTAAATTTAAGGTTAATTGGGAGTTGAATATGGCAATTCTAAGAATTAGCGTCCTTGGAATATTTGTATATTTCTGAATCCATCCCCTGTTTATAGCTACAAGCATGCCATTAATTTATTATTTTCCTTTTATAGACTTTACCAGAGTAACACAAACAAAAATTAGACTTTAAACTCAGAAGGAATTTGGGAGCAGGACATAAGATTTTAAAACGGTTATGCACTGAGGGGAGGGGGGTAATATAAGAAGTAAAAGCAACAGAAAATTAGCTGCTAAGTCTTCAGAATAATGCATTTTTTTACAGGTTGTTTTTAATATTACCTGCTATATTACACTTTTATCTGTGGTCCTCCAAGCTACTGTATGCTAACTCCCAAGGGAAGAAGGGGAGAGGGCTAAGTAGTTCAAATAGGTCTTTCAAATGAAAACTAATTCTGATTCTTCTCTTTTCTGAGTTTGTATTTCCTTTACCACTTTTTGCTCACAACTCTGCATGGACTATACAGAGTATAGATCCTGATTGTACTTCCCAAGAGCCCACTTTCCCCACTAAAATCTAGAATGAGAAGTGGAGTCCGGGGTTCTTCAGGTGGCGCCTGAGTCAGACCCCAGCCTGGCCAGAGCAGCAAATGCAGGAACAACCCTGTCAGTGTTTTCATGCCCAGGCCTCTGAGTAGAGCAGAAGGAACTGGGGATGATATGGTCCACACTCCCTTATCCTCAATTCCAAACTCCAAAAGCCCTGCAACTAAAATTGTTTTTCATAAATTTGGCACAAAACTTTGGTTGCTAGCAACATCTGACCTTCCTGACATGCAGCTGAGTGGAGTCACTGTTGGTCTCACTGAGGGCAATGATGTACACATTTTGTGTGAGATATGACTGTACTAGAGGCCGGTGCACAAAATTCATACACTCAGGGGAGTCCCTCAGCCCAGCCTACACCTTCTTCCAGTCCGGCAACCCTCGGCGGATGTCCGACTGATAGGGAGCAGGCCTAAGTTGGCAGTCGAACATCCCCTGAGTGGTCCTTAGCACTGCCACAGAGGTGGGAGAGGCTCCCACCACTGCCACTGTGCTCGCCAGCCATGAGCCCAGCTCAGGGCTTCTGTCTGAGCAGCGCTCCCCCTGTGGGAGTGCACTGACCACCAGGCGGCAGCTCCTGCATTGAGCATCTGCCCCCTGGTGGTCAGCGTGTGTCATAGCGACTGGTTGTTCTGCCATTCAGTCAATTTGCATATTAGCCTTTTATTATATAGGATTTGTTTACAGGGTGCTGACCTAGGCCCCACTGGGAATGTGATCTAATATATGGACTGTATACCATTTTACTGTTATAGAATCTGAAAAACTTTGAATTCTGAAACATATCTAGACCCACAGGTTTAGATACAGGACAGTGGGCCTGACCTAAGTGTTCTGAGGTGGGAAGAGGCCTGAAAAGAAGGACACACCCTGGCTCTGCAGAAGGAAATGTGAACTGCAAATCTAGAAGGGTGGTGTGCTTTGGACGGATGGGAACTCAAAGAGAACTGTCAGTGTTATCTGTCTCAGCCTGAGGAGCAGGAAACCAATGCAGAAAGTGACAAAAATTAGCCACCAGCGGTTGCCAGAGGGGGCGGGTGTGGGGGGCGGGGAGGGAGATTGGGTGAAAAGAGGTGAAGATATTAAGAACTACAAATTGGTGGTTACAAACTAGTCACAGGGATCTAAATTACAACACTGGGGATATAGTAGATAATATTGTAACAACTGTGTATGGTGCCAGGTGGGTACTAAACTTACCAGGGAGATCACTTTATGAAGTATATGATTATCTAACCACTATACTGTACACCTGAAACTAATACAAAAAAATAATATTGAATGTAAACTTCAATTGGAAAAAAAAAAAGTCACCAGCCACACTCTAACTGACTGCCCGCCAGCACAGGCTGAGGTTCAGGTGAGCACAGAACGGAGGGAAGTGCCACATCTGCCCTCCTAGACTCCCTACCTCGGGACCTGCTACAGCACTTTCAGCAGCATCTTCCTTCATTTTTCACTCTCTTCCACCATTTCTCTACTCAAAACAATCCCTCTCCTATCCTTACACATTCCATACTAATTGCCACTCAGAATTCACTAGTGGTGATGGTAAGTTTATAAAATCTAAAAAGAACAAAATTAGTTTGATTCTGGTTATACGCATTTTATTATTTTATTCTGGATTCAGACTGCCTGGTTTTAACTTACAGCCTCACCACTTCCTAGCTATGTGATTAAAGATGAGTTATTTAATCTCCTGGGCCTCAGCTTCCTCATTCATAAAATAGGGATAATAGTACCTATCTCATCCAGTTGTTGAGAAGATTAAATGACATAATATTATCTTGGTAGATTGAGAGCCCCACAAATGTAAGCTGTTATTTCAGGTGTCTGCAGTTGTCTTTCAAATGACCTCCATAAGCTAGTATAGGATGCCTTAAATCCAATTTCCTAAGATAGCACCATAAAGACATTTGCTAGATATAAAGATAAAGGAGAAGACGACAACAACAAAAATAGATGCATGATCAAAACCTCAGTGTGTACAGCAGGAAGCAATACAACCTGCTTCCATGACAATGGTGGCCGTAACACTCCGTGTTGTACCTAGTCTCTCCCTCTCCTCTCACCAATTTGTTTTGAAATCTAAGAAACAAAATGATAAGGGTGCAATAAAACATTTGATATACAAATTTCAAAAAACAAACTATCAAGCAAGAACTAATCTTTACATTTTTCACTTTATATTCACATTTTTATTTTCAGATTCCCCATCCCTTAAACATTAATATATTAATCACAATGTCTGGCTAAGGATGCACTAAGAACAATTAATTCTGCATTAAATTGAACCCCAATTACTTAAGCACTGTTACTAGAAAATTTCCAAGGATATATGTTTCCCTGATATCTCACAAAGCTGTTCCATACATTTAGGAGTAGGCACTCCTTGACCTTTCCCAAGACATCAACAGTAACATCTGTCTACACCGGCATGTGGGTCAGCATCACCCGTGGATTCATTACTTTCAAGTTCCCCCAACCTGAGTCTATGGTTGTAGGTGGAGAAGCTGGGAACCCTATCTACACACCCACTCCTCTCTTACCTCCTGCTCTGACTTTGGAATTAATGTTGGGGCTGTTATGACTATCTTTCGATTGTTAGCCCTAACTGTACCAGCCCATATTTGTCCTGGTCAAATACACCTCCACCCTATTTTATTTATCAAAAAAGTATTCACCAGAAAGAATGTCCAAACTAAGGTGGGAAAAAACCCATCATAGCTAAATGTGGGTTTAAAGCTGAAAAGACTTGGGTTTGAAAAACTGCCAGTTCTTACTGCTCACTTACTCACATGAAGGTTTACAGCTCCTGAAATCATGCCAGGACTTTGAAAATGAAAGCTTGCAGTTAGAGAACGATGGCTCATGACAGCGGAGATCAGTCATGTGATAGGCCAGGCGTTCTCCGTCACTGCCTTCCTCAATAAGACAGGGCCCTGAAACAGAGGTTAATCGGTCAGATAGCATCCGCAGAGGCTGAGGGCAGCAGAATCCAGCTGCAGCAATTAATCATTTAATTGCTTTCTGATTCACTTTAAATGTCTTTTAAAAAGATATTAAATGAGAACATTATTGAACAGATATTTTAGACTATTTAATAAAGATCTAATATACCCTTTGTGAACCAGAGAATAAATGGATCTTGGACAACATTTACTTATCCAAAGGAGTGACAGTCTCTGCTCCAGGCGAGAGAAAAGGGAGGTATAAAAGCACAGAGAAGAGAAAGCATGGGTGTGAATTAAAATCAGTTTTTGTTTGTTTGTTTGGCTGGGTTTCTTGTTTTGGTTTGGTTTGTTTTTGGCTAACGGATGTGTGATAGTTGAGGGGAACGACTAGAAACACGCAAACTAGATTTTAGAAGGCCTTGAATGTCAAGATAAAAGAGCATGAACTTGATCTTTTAGGCAGTGGGAACCACTGAAGGTTTCCCGGCAGAGAAAACAGGTTGAGTAGGGAAGAGCATGAACTATGATGTCCATCAGCTCCAGGTTATAATTCCAACTTTGGCTCTAATTAGCTGGTATAAACACATTATAACCTTTTTGGAATCTCCCAAGCTATACAATGGAAGTAATAATATATTTTCCAGCGTTATTGTACCATTAGAAAGACATACATGACACACCCACCCCAGGATTAGCACAGAAAAAGTACCTAGTAAGATGGTGGAAGCTGTAACTGCTGCCGTGCTCTGGTAGGATAGTCAAAGGGGAAGAGGTGGGAGGGAAGAGGTCCATGTAAGAGGTGGAGGGGCTGGACCAGACAGAATGTAGACAAGGAGAGTAGCAAAGAGAAAACAGGACAGAACATGAGGGACATGACAAAGGTACAATCAAAGGAATCAGAGACTAAGAAAGATTAACTTGTCCAAAGCCATCTGACAATGACTAGACACGGCCAAGGGAAGAGAAGAAGCCAAAAGGATTCCAACAAGTGGGTTGAGATAGCAATCATACAAGTCAGAGAGGATCTAAAATAAATAATAAATGTAAAATAAATGCCAAACATTACGCCTGAATTTCTAGAATGACTATGGAAATAACCAAAACCATACTCCTGTCTGCAGTGATCCCATCTGAATTCTTAATCCGAAGAGCTGCTCTGAGAACAATTTTCAAATCCAAATGATTCAGGCCATGACATCACTCAGCACTGTACACCAGGCAGCATCCTCCTCCTACACACCTTCACCGTGGCTCACCTCTTCACATCATCCCTACCACACCGTCGCCACCATTTTTTTAGGCACTTCCCACAGGCCTCACTGATGTCATTCACTTTATGATCCTCTTATCACAAGCAATCTCTGATGCTCTCCCTTTCCCACAAGACTCGCCTGCCTGGATAACAGGTGGAGAAGTACCTGGCACTTCAGAACAGCAGGGCAGCACCTAATAACTCATTGCCCCTGACGTTTTCATTACGCACTGTTAGAAGTATCTTCGGGAAGCAGCCTTAATAATTTTGCACCATGGCACTCTGTGGGGATTAATATTACTGATTTACATGTCCAGGACCGTGGCCCCTCATCCAGCACAAGCTTCTATCCTCGTCTGGGTCACTGTGGTTTCAGCAGTGTCAGCTCCATCTGATTCACAAAGGAATCAACCCACAGACACTTTCCAGCCACGCATGTGCCTGCCAGGACAACAGGGGAAACTTTACAGCCTATATAAATGGACTTTAATATTGCAGTACACCTTTTGGGACGTATGTCTAATTTGCTAGAACAGGCAGAAAAGCTGACAAGTCACTTTGTGCCTTTTTGGAGGCCCTGGAGAAGCACAGGTTTGCACTGTTTCCCTGCTCACGCCGCACCCCCCCCCCCCCCCCCCCGGCTCTCCCTGTAGCACTATGCGGGGGAGAGTTGTTCCTACAGAGCTTTCCTCTCCTTTCACTAACATTGTTTGTCCTGAACACCTCTAAGAAAACACTGCCAGTGATTTAATGTCATTTCATCATTAACTTCAAGACAAATGTCATGCTGGCTTATCTCCAGTTAATGACCATGTACTTCCTGTGCAATCTGACCGGCTCTAAAATAACAAAATCAATATACAGTGTTTTGTAGGTAAAAATATTTTATGCTTTTCAAAGGGGAGTGCAACTTGGGGAGGGGGCTGGTGACAACGTGAGGTCAAAGGTTATTTACAAGTCAACTCATCATAGATAGAAAAGTGTTCTTCCTGGATTCTTCACTATATTCTCAATCTGGAAATATCTGGCACAGGGCACTAAATGGACTTGTTGCATGGCTGATTCGCCGATGGTGTGCAGCATTTCTCTTTCTGAGTTACTCTTGGTTCAGAGGAGTGGAGAATGCTATCCAGGGTTAAGGTTTCTAATTTTTTTAAAGTCTCTGTGTACCAGAGTAATATTAATGATACACATCTACTATTCACTGAGTGCTACTATATATTTCTATTTTACTCCCTGTGAAATAAAGTACTATTATTACTCCCATTTCCCAGATGAAGAAACTGAGCCTTAGGGAGTTTAGATCACTTACCCAAGGCCAGACAGGTGGTAACTGGGAAAATCAGAAGTCTAATCCAGGTCTCTTTTATACTAGAGTCAGGGTTAAAGGTCATTATAACTCACTGGAACAGTGACACCCACAAATCCCAGTCCAGAAGCACTCACTGGACAATTTTAGCTTAACATTCACAGTACAGGAAAACAACATCTCCTTACATACTGACTGCTATTAGTCTGACTTCACACTAACTCATGAGCATATAATGACCTTAACCGTTTCAAGAAAAAAAAAATTAACTCTGATATTTATTGATTCCTTAATCCATAAAAGGCACACACCTACTTAATCACTAAATGGGAGAGTTGATTGTCGAGAAGGATAGAATGTCCCTTTCATTTTTCACAGTACCTATAATCTAACCAGGTAGACAAGCCCTAAATACATACACTGTATACATTTAGGAGACATCAAAAAGGCACTGCAAAGCCAGATGAGATTCATCACCAACTTAGCAATAGAGAGCAAAGGTGCTAGGGTGAATCAGGTGAGGGAGACTGCTCTCCAAGCAGGAGAAGTCAGGGAAACTGGATGGGAGAGCTAGGACTCAGGTGGTAACTGACAGAGGTAGCACATGGTGAGGTTGGAGATGGCTGAGGAGTGGAAGGGGCATCCCCGAGAGTTGATAAGGAATCCCTGGAGTAGGTGAGAGGTCTGAATCAGCCGCTGACTGAAATGTAGCATGAGCCCAGACAGTGACACCCTGCTACAGACTGAACTGTGTCCCCTAAAATTCATGTGCTGAAGCACTAAGCCCCAGTGTGCCCATATTTGGATATAGGCCCTTAAAAGAGGTTATTCAGGTTACATGAGGTTATAAGGGTGGGCCCTAATCATATGTCCTTATAAAAAGAGGAAGAGACACCAGAGGTGCTCAATCACAGAGGAAAGACCATTATCAGGACATGATGAGAAGACAGCCACCTGCAAGCTAAGCAGTGAGGTCTCTGGAGAAACCACACTTGCCAACACCCTGATTTTAGACTTCTAGCATCCAGAACTAGTGAGAGAATAAATTTCTGTAGTTTAAGCCTCCCAGTCTGTGGTATTTTGTCATGGCAGCCCCAGTGACAAATGCACATACCTTCAGCTATTTCACATATCACTTCTCTGCCCTGGCTGGACCTGCCACCCATGCTATCCTTGATCCTAACTGTCTTAGAAGGCTTGACACCAGGAGGAGCAGGTTTCTAAACCACTGGGCTATGCCATGTGGCTAGCATAAAGACCTCTGTTGGAATACTTGGACCTCAGAAACAAGCTGAAGGAGATCTAAGGCAGTGTTTTTCACATTCCCTCTGGTGAAGGCCAGTGTTTAGATACATGATCCTACTGTGTGTGTTGAGTAAGCAGCAGCAGCCACAAAACAACTCACTGTGCAAATTTAACAACATCCTGTTCAACAGTGTTCCCTCATCAGGCACATGGATATGACAGCCTAGCGATGTGGTAAATGCTGATAAGTGTTCAGCACCAAGTTCTTGAGGGTGGGAGGAGTCCCGATTTGAAGCATTTGCCCATCTATATATATAAAAGACTAATTTGCTAAGTGTCCATCTGGGTAATGACATCACATAGCAACGCCTGGCTTCCTCTCCCTGGTGACTAGCCTCCTTGGAGTTTCTTCAGCCCAGGAACACGACTTGCTTTATAGCCAGGTGGAAACATTTTGCACTTTCACCACATGTCTTGAAACACTTTCCTGTGCCTCATCTCATTTGATCCTCACAGAAGTCCTGGAGTAGGTAGATAGGAGACTCAGTGGAATCCTATTTTCTTTTCATTAGCCAGAAAACGGAGATTTAGAAAGCTTAGAAACATGACCTGACTGAAAAGAAGTAAGAAATGGTGGAACTTAAAAATGACTTCAGGTTTTCTCACTGTGCAAAATATAGTCAAACACTGCTACAGTTAAATATTTTACCCTTTGTTCTCCCTGCATTATCTACAATAATAATATGCTTCGTGTTGATTTTTACTGTTGTGTTGCTGACAATTACCTGAAAGAGAAGTTGGGGTGCTTCACTGGGCTGGAAAAAGTTTAGCTAAGTCAGAAAGCAGGTCTAACTAAGCAAGTTTATTCTATATCTATAAAAGGCTAAGTTGACTCGCGCATGCACAATACATATAAAGCTCTCGCTGGTGCCAATCATATGCATGTGTTTCCATCTGTCATTGTCGATCATGAGTTTGGTTGACACTTCTATTATAGAGAAAGGGCGAATAGTGATATTAAAATATTTCTTCTAATTAATTTCCTTTCCATGTGCATGAATTCATGCATCAGGCCACTAGTATGTATGATAAAAATACCTCCCAGCTTGGCTGATTTCAAGCTGCCAACATGAAGTCTGGTGAGCCACAGAGGTGGAAAGAAATGCCCATAGTCAGCTCTCT